TATATATATATATATGACGAATCTCTATGTTAAAATTACAGATGAATTGCGGATAAAATACTGGATGAATTGCATTTTAATTGCGATATTTGTAATCAGAGAAGGCTTCTGAAGTATCGTACAGAGTGATTTTGGTTTTAAAAGGTAAAATTTGTGATATTTCGAAGTTTTGTTATTTCATCTAATGTGTACTATATATAGTTATAAGATGTAGTACATAATTTTATTATTATAAAAAATTTTCAAAAATCAATTTGTAAAATTCGGCTTTATACGAGTTTTCCCAGCAATATAAGAAAGAAATTCCAAAAAATAAAGAAATATCAATTACTTCTTCAAGAAGAAAAACCAGCATGACCTAAATCTGCACTTATGAATGAATTTTTTTATACTGAAATTATGCTAAAATATACGAATCGCGTTTTAATTGTAATACTCGTAATCAAGAAAGGCTCCTGAAGATTCGATAAGATAAGATAAGATAAGAGCGATTTTTTGGGAAAAAAGGCAAAATAAAAATTTATTTTTATATTTCATTTGATGTATACTATAGTGCAGTTGAAGTGCATATAATTTTATTTATTATAATTTTTGAAGAACCAATTTACAAAATCTGACTTTGTACGCGCCTTCGCAGTTTTAAAAAAGAAATCAAAAAGTTTTATAACATAATATTATTTCTTAGAGATAAAATATCAGCATAAAAACATGTATCTGCATAAAAAAATGTATAAATAAAACATGTATAAATAAGGAGCATATTATTTTATTCATTAAAATGTTTTTTAAGAATGAAATTACAAAATTTGGTTCTTTAATGAAATGATAGGCTTCGCAATTTGTCGCCTGTCAACCCTAAAGGTTTTATGTCGATGCTCGATACTCATTTTCAGTGCCAAAATAAGTCACATGATCAAAATTGACGTTTGGTATTCATCAATTTCTATCACATGACTTATTTTAACGCCGAAAATGAGCATCGAACGTCGGCATGAAAAGGCACTTGTAGACTCCACAATAAAGAGTAAAAATGAGTTTGTACTTCGGTGTAATACAATGGACTCGCTACATCATAATTGATTGAAGTAGAACTGGATATCCGTCAATCGTAATCGTCAATTTATAGTTTGGAAGTCGATTGTGTATTTTGAATGAGATGAAAATTACAAAACTAAATTCACTAAGTGTTGACCAATTGAATTATGGATTTCCTAGTAAATTTGCTTATTTTTGTAATTTTTATTTCATTTCGAGATACACAATCGACCTCCTAATATGGATATTATATTATGACGGTGCACTGTGTAGGTGAGATGCCATTATACTTCGGGTGCATTCCGATATTCACTGCCAGTGCAAAATCTATAACGTACGTAACATATACTGTATAGTTTCAGTACTGGCAGTGAATATTGGAAAGCATCCTTTATCTATCTCTTATCTCCAATCGTGATCAGACATTTTGCGTGTTTGTAAGAAAATCCGAGATATCCAGAGTTTCGGGGAATTCCGTTACTCACTTATATGTGCTTATTATGTGCTGAAAGCTTCGAGAACATTCGAGGATAAACTGTCGTTTGATAAGTTACGAGGCAGCGAAACTTGGTAACAACACAATTAGAACATCGTAGCTGTTACCCAGCAGAGCTAGCAAGTGATTGTGTTACGCAATATATTTTAGGAGCTTTGTCTGAATTAAGACAAAATGACGAAGAAAGGTACGTGCCAGATATTACTTGCGATCGTTTAAGAGCAAGTCTCCATTTTTCCTACAAATGCATCGATAATTGATTACTTCCATGATAATAATTCAATTATCCGAATTATTTGTTTCAAAAAACAAATTACAATATATAGAAATAAATAAATCTGTATAATCAATCTATGTATAATTCTCACAATATGCAGTCTAATCGTGTTTTTGATTTGCTGATTCGACTCAACCTCTATGATGATATGTTCTTTTTAGCTGCAAAAAAAATGTTCCATTTGGAACATTTTTGGCATTCACAATGTTTTTACATCATTTTATCCTTGTTATTTATTAAATATTATACAAAGATAAATGTTTAATTACTCGTGAATATTGTAACTTACAAGTATCAAGTAAAACGCAATTATTATTGCTGTGTACACTTGCGTTTGTAGAATGAAGTCAAGATGGCATTAGGTTTTTTACAACTGAAGTTTTTGTATAATTTATTTTTTTCTCGAATTCCATATACATATATAACATTTCCTATTTTAATAAACCTATTGTGCAGAAAGTATAGCATAATGTAAAGGACTTATGTATTTATTACAAGTAATTATTTAATTAAATTAACTAAAAGCTTCAAGTATATAAATGTTACGTATATATTATAATCTTTTAAAATTTGATTTATACCTATTCTCTAAAAGATATTTAATAAAGAATAATACAAAATTATAGGAAAGAAGAAGAAGCAGACAACAGCTGCATCAACCTCAAAAGAGACTTCGCAAGAACAGTCCTCGCAGCAACAAAAAGAACAACCCTCAAAAGCATTACCTAGTTCGCAACAAAAGACAACCATAGGTCTGAAATGTCAATAAATTAAGGCATTAGGTTTTTTGTAGCTGAACTTTTTATATAATTTTTCTTTTTTTTTTTCCTCTAATATTCCTATTTTAATAAACTTATTTTATAAGTGCAGAAAGTATAACATAATATAGTTACAAGGACTTATATATTTATTTATTTAAAAGTAATTAAATCAGAGTTTGTTTAAAGCAGATAAAAGTGAAAATTTTTTATATATGTATGTACATATATACATACAAAAAATTTTCACTTTTCACGTTTCTGTCACAGAGAAAAAATTACATGATTGTTATCCTGAGCTATCCAGCCTCTATATTTTGTAACTCGTTACAAACGTCGTGCAATTATGTGCTCATGATGATAGTTGCATAGATATTTTATACAGTAAAAAAGCTGTGCAACTATAATTATAACATACAACGAGTTACAGAATGCAGGAGTAAGATCTTTCGATTTGAAATTAAAATGTATCTGTATTCATGCCTGTTACCGTTCGTACTCCTTATTTCATTGCTGTTTTATCATAGCGTGCAATGTTTGTTCTCAAAGACTAATTTGAAATTAAAAGTTTTGACCTGAGTCATTCATTATGTTTAAAAGTATTCTGTTACTAATATCTCATAAGATATAAAATATATAAAATTCATATATTTTTATATATTAGTTAAATACGTTATAAATAATATTATTTTGTAATATTAGTAACAGAATATTTTTGAACATAATAAATGACATAGATCAAACTTAACAATTTTAAACCAGTATTGTCTCGAATGTTGCATACTGTGATAAAATAACAATAAAGTAAGAGTGAAAACAGTGAATATCGATACATTTTAATTTCAAGTCAAAAAAAATTAGATAGAATGAAAGATCCTTATGAAATCGTAATATATTTATCGTATAATGTTATTTTGTGAATCTGATGCTACATTTATCAATAATAACGATGAAAAAAATTAACGAAGTCGAACGAGATTCAAGCTCGATATCCTTCATTTTCATACTTATACACTAAAACTACATAGCTACGAATATTTTATTACAATTAATATTTTGTCCATATAAAATAAAAATGAAATTAGGAACGTAATTGTATGTCCGACTCAACAGGTGACTGTCACGATATACGCTTCCAGCTTCCGCTCTATCTTTGGCTAAAAGTATCTAGTCTGGGCACTTATCATGGAACAAGTCGGAATAGATTCCGATCAGAATTATTCAATTATTTCCTAGATTTCTATTGTGATTTTTATGGAAAATGAAATAATTCCGATCGGAATTCTTTCTGATATGTTTCATGATAGGTACAGCTCTGAAATTAAATTAACTGAAAGCTTCAAGTATGTAAATGGGATGTACATATTACAATTTCTTAAAACTTGATTTTTAATTGATACTTTTTCTTTAAAATCCAATTGCACCAACATTACTTTGACTTCAAGCAAGGCTTAAAACTCTTACTTTCTCTCTTTAAAATCAAAAGAGAAGAATAGAGAGAGTTTTAAACCTCGCTTAAAGTTGATATTGATACAATCGGGCACAATAAGAGATATATATATTTAATAAAGAATAATACAAATTATAGGAAAGGAGCAGGGAGCAGCTGCATCAACTTCGAAACAGACTTCTGACGATTCTTCAAAACAACAAAAGGTACTCAAAGATCTAAAGCAGTAACAAATAAGATCCACAACAAAAAATAACTAAGAGTTTGCAGAAGCAGATATCACAAGGTCAGCAACAACAAGAATCATGGAGCCGCCCACAACAACAACAACAACAACCACAAAGAGCACGAAGCCAACCACAACAACAAATACAAGGAATGCAGAGCCAACAACAACCACAAGCAACAGCATGGAGCCAGTCACAGCAACAATCACAAGAAGCACGGAACCAACCACAACGAGCATGGAGCCAACTACAACAACAAAGACAAGGAGCATGGAGCCAGACACAACAACAACCACAAGGAGCACACAGCCAATCACAACAACAATCACAAGGAGCATGGAACCAACCACAAAGAGCATGGAGCCAGCCACAACCACAAGTAGCACAGAGCCAACCACAAGAAGCATGGAGTCAGGCACAACAACCACAAGGAGCACGGAGTCAACCACAACAACAACCACAAGGAGCACAGAGCCAACCACAACAACAACCACAAAAAGCATGGAGCCAGCCACAACAACTACAAAAAGCATGGAGCCAGCCACAACAACCGCAAAGAGCACAGAGCCAACCACAACAACAACCACAAAAAGCATGGAGCCAGCCACAACAACAACAAAGAGCATGGAGCCAGCCACAACCACAAGGAGCATGGAGCCAACCACAACAACAACCACAAGGAGCACAAAGCCAACTACAACAACAACCACAAGGAGTTTGGGGCCGCCCACGACAACAACAACAGCAATATAGAGCACCAACTTTATCTCAACAGCAGCAAGAAGCTTCAAGTAAATATTCTCTAATAGTAATACAATCAGAAACAGCAACAATTATTGTATATATTATTTAATATATTTTTTAATATTTGATATAAAAAAATTTATGTAAAAAAGTTTATAGTTATATAATTTTTTAAAAAGTAGAATTGCTCTCTTATTCATATATTAATATACTTGTATTCATAACTTAACAGAATGAATAATTAATTTTTTTATCTCATGTATAAAAATACTTTGACAAAGTTATTGAAAAGCAAATACTTTATATAAACATATAAAATAGTTTATATTCATAGAGTAATATAGAATATAACTAGAATTAAATACAAAACATCTAATCAGGTATTGATTTTTTATTTATTTCATTTTAATTATTTTTTTATATAAAATGATTAGGAAAATTGAATCATAATAAAAAAGTTAGTTTTATTTTTAAAATTATTTTTATTAAAAAAGAAATTTTCTTCATTTTTCTAAACGAATTTGTCTAATGAAGATAATGTGGTCCAAAAACTGTCTCAAATTAAACATGTGTGCACGCGCGCGCGCGCGCGCGCACACACACACACACATACACACACACGCGCGCGCACGCACGCACACATATACAAGGTAAGGAAAAAATACAGGAATCCTGAAGTAAAAAAAATATAAATTTTATAAAAAACTGTTTCAAATAAAAGTTGTAGAATTTACAAAGATTTATCATAGTTATGTATATATAAATATACATATTTTTATTTTTTATAGTTGATATTGGTGCTGCTGGTGATCGACAAGTACAGGCAATTGGTAGTGGTGTGCAGCCATCAACAAATACTACATCTCTTGATGTATGATTATGTATTATTATACATATATACATAAAATACAAATATTATTTTTAAATATAATTATATGCGCGTGTTTAATAAAATATCTATTACAAATATCTTACGAATATATAGTGCATTCTGAATTTATTAAAATTTTTTTTTTTTCCAGATATCTGAGCTTTCTTTAACAGATCCATTCCACAAAGAAAAGTCTGAAAAGGCAAAAATGTCATCTGAACAATTAAAAATATATCTTGATATGATACCAAAGAGAAAAAATCCTCTATGTGGTGGGAAAATAGGAAAAAACATTTCTGTGTTTACAAATATGTACCAAATTATATTCAGCGATAAGTTTGTAACCAACGCAGTTCATTATGATATTGTTATTCGTCCTATCGATGAAAAGCCCAACAAAACAGAAACCAATAAAGAAATCAAACTTCCTAAGATTTTATGTAGAAATATTTTTGAACAATGTAGAAATAAACATTTTAGCAAGAGATTTCCAGCTTATGATGGGAAAAAAAATGCATATAGCGCAAATGAGCTTCCTTTCTCCAATTATGTAAGTAATACACACATTACAATAATTGTAACACAATTTATCACATGGAACAAGTTTTTAAATATTATTTGATTAAAATATTTTAACAACAAAGAGAAAGAGTTTTTTATAATAATTTAATTTTTTTTCATTCTATATAGATGCAGGATGTTTTCTGGTTCTTAAATGAGAAGGGACAAAAGAAACAATATGAAATTACCCTGAATAAAGTGGCATATATTGATCTTAGTTGGATAAAAAATTTGAAACCTGGTCTTGCAGAAAATAAAGATCGAACCGCTTTACAAGTCTTGGATATAATCATGCGTCATGCACCAGAATCGAGGTTTATTAATGTAAGCGATTAATAGAAAGATGATATTTGGCCTCTCTTAAATATTTCCACTATTAGGTAACGAATTCTAGTAATTACTTATGGAATCATTTGTTTAGAAGCTACTGTTATGCAGTGGTAGTAAGATGCTAATAGCTGGCATTTATTATAACGCATTTTTACATTTAAACATTACGAAACATTTTTAAGATACAGTTCAGTATTTAATTACATATACGTCCTCATTTCTTTTTAAACTTGAACGTATTAATATAAGTATGTATTAATATAAGTATTTTTGAATGTATTGTTATTTAGCATTTTATTTGACTATATATGTTTCGAATTATGCAAAATTAAATAATAGCATGGCCTCGAAGAGTATGAACTGTATCATCCATATCTAAGTATATAGATCAAATGTAGTTAACAAGAATAAGAAAGAGAGAACATAAGGACAATCAACTTTCTCTCTTTCTAAGGTAGTGATTGGTAAAAAGAAATAAAGTGTTTTTTGAGTCTAGAATCAATTGAACAGTACTTGGATGAATGTAATCATTAAATTTTAGATTTAATATTGATTGTTAATCAATATTAATTAATTAAAATTATCAAGTTATTGTGTAATGTGTAAATGAAGGGCCATAATATTTTCTTCTCTAGTAATGTTATAATAATTCAAATTGATTAGCACTAATAAATACTAATAATAAGTTATTAAGTTTAATTATAAATAACATCCTCTCGATTTTTTTTTAATAAATCGCATTTATTTAAATAAATTAATTTTGCATATTAATTTGAGAACAGAAACTAACTTTTTAAAAATATGTATTTATTTATATTCTTTATAAAATGTTAATCTAATTAGAGGAAATTAATTTAAATGTAGTATAAATATATAAAATGTATGATATAAAATATGTTATAGGTTGGAAGATCACTCTATTGGAATATAGATAAGATTGAGCCACTAGGTGGTGGCTTAACTCTAGCACACGGTGGATTTCTCTCTGGTGTACTTGGGTGGCAACCATATCTAAATGTAGATGGTAAGACATCCATGTTGATCGATATGATTTTTTATCATTTCAATTATAAATAATACTTTTACAAAGCTTTTAATAATTTTTAAACTGAAAACTACAATAAATATATTTATCTATAATCTCTATATTACTTCTTATATTTTATTTAGTTGCTCATAAAGGATTTACTATGACTTTAAAAGTACTTCAATACATATCTGATGTTACAAGAATCAAGGAAGAAAACCTTTCTTATAATGTTATAATGAAGTATAGAAACAAGATATTAAATTTTTTGAAGGGCTTAAAAGTGATTTATGCAATACCTAATTCACCAATTTCGAAACGTACGTACCGTGTACTCGATTTGTGGCCCGATAGTTGTGACTCACATACGTTTACATCATCCGATGTAACTTACACAATAACAAAATATTTTCGAGACATAAAGAGATATAACATAAAGAGGACTGATTTGCCTACTCTTCATGTGGGCAAGACTTTCAACGGAGGCAAAGTCTTGGTGCCTCTTGAAGTAAGCTGTTTTATATTTGCTACAAGTAAGTGATAATGTAAAATAAATTAAAAATTTTTTTGAACACTTATAGTTATGCACCATTGTGGGTGGTCAGGCCGTTAATAAAAAACTAGATGAACAGCAAACCACAAATATGATTCGAAAAGCAGCAACGGCTGCGCCTATCCGTAAACAGAACATAGAAGCAGCGGTAAAAGATATTTACATTGTTAGATTGAACATATTATATCATTATGTTTATTGTGTTATATGTCTATAGTTCCAGAAATTGGAAATAAATCGTAGTTCTGTTATGGAAAAAGAGTTCAATCTATCTGTGAGTACAGAAATGCAAAAGGTTGATGCCAGAGTTTTGCCACCTCCTGGATTGAAATATGCTAATTCAACGATGACAGTAGAAAAAGGAATATGGCGTTTGCAACAGTTTAATCAAGCCAAAAGTTTGGGACCTAATTCATGGACTATTCTTATTTTAGCTGATAGAATATTTGATAATGAAATACATTTGTTTGTAACAGAATTACAAAAAAATGGTTAAGTATATGAAAAATAAAGTTTTAATAAAGTTTTGAAATGTATTCTATATTATATATATATAATATATATATATATGTATATATCATATTTTTTAAAAGTTTCCAAAAAGTATAATACATCTAATTGTTCATAAAAAAATTATGCATAATTTACAATTATGAATTTATATGTTAACAAAAAAATTGCAATTTTGAATTATGTTATATAGTTGTGTTCATATTACATTTTGTTATTATATTAATTATAATAATCCATTTTTGTAGCAAAAATCGTTGGTATGACAATTGGTAAACCTGAAAGTCCATTTAAAAGATTTGATACAAACGATTTAAGGGGTATCACAAATTACTTCAATCAATATAAACATTTACAATTGATAATAGTTATCATATCAGATTATACAGACATAACATATGGTGAGTACATGTGGTTCTTTTCATTATACTTTCTTATTCTGAATATAAATTAATATAATGATACTTATCATTATCTTAGGAAACGTAAAAAAAATTACCGAAATGGACATAGGTGTTTTGACACAGTGTATAAAATGTAAAACTGTGAAATCATGCAATGCTGCTACAATAAAAAATCTTCTACAAAAAATAAATTCAAAACTAAATGGCATCAATCATATATTGGATAAAATGTGAGTGAATAATATTTGTGCTTTGTTTTATAAAAATATTTGTAGTTTCGAATAAAACTGTTTTTTTTTCTCTCTCTCTCTTAGGCCATCATGTTTAAGTAACTATTCTTGTATGCTTGTTGGTGCCGATGTAACTCATCCGGCCCCCGATTCTAAAAGTATACCATCTATAGCGGCGGTTTGTATAATTATTAAACGCAGCTTTTCTTTTATGTGAATATATGTATTAATAAGAAATGTCACTAATTTAGGTTGCTGCAAGTAGAAATAATTCAGCTTTTCAGTATAATGTTACACTCAGACTTCAACCACCTAAAGAAGAAATGATTTTAGATCTTGAAGCAATAATATTATCACAACTTAATATTTATTATCAGGAAACAAAGTCTCCACCGCGGAGACTCATCTATTATCGGTATATATTGGCAATGTATAATATTATATTATATTAATTATTAAAAATAAATTCTTTTTATATATACATACATAAAAAGAAAAACTATTACATAGATAAACAATTATGAATATTCACAGTTAAGAATAAATAAAAAATTTATTAGTGCACATTGATTCCATATTTACATCAATATCTAGAGACGGAGTTAGCGAGGGACAGCTTCCTCAAGTTATGTTTTATGAAATAAACGCCATTAAAAATGCAATTAAAAGATTTAATAAAGATAATATTGAAGTTACCTGCATGGTTGTTCAGAAGAGACATCATGTGCGTCTCTTTCCTGCAAATCAACATGAAACAGATGACAGAAACGGTAACGTGAGAGCGGGTACAATTGTCGATACAACTATTACACATCCAGATCATATCGATTTTTATCTCGTATCACATGCGAGTATTCAGGTAAAATTATTGGTTTCTTTTTTTAATATGTTTATATGTATAATTATAAATAGCTCATTGTTTATAAACAAATATCAACGTAATTTTACAATGAATAGCAATTAAGAATAATTAACTCGTAATAATTATAATAATTCACTTCAAGATACTTCAAAGTATATATGTATTAAAACTAATTAAATTTTCAAACTATATGTTTACAAACGCATATTTCTTCAACCAAATAAAATTAATTTGATATATAAATATTGATTATACTATAAATGCAAACACACACACAGGGTACAGCAAGGCCTACAAAATACAGATGCATATGCAATGATTCTAAATTTAACGAAGATCAGCTTGAGGAAATGACTTATTTTCTTTGTCATATGTATGCCCGCTGTACAAGATCGGTAAGCTATCCGGCACCAACGTATTATGCTCATTTAGCAGCTTTTCGCGGAAGAGCCTTATTACAAGGGTAAGCAATCAATTACAATATCGAATATTACGATTATGATTTATAAAACATCATTTTCATTTGCAGGAACCCAAACTTTAATTTGGCTGATTTAGAAAGGGAACAAAGAAATTTTAAAATGAAGATGGCAGCATCGCCGATGTATTTCGTTTAAGGATATATTATTTATGATTTTATGGATTTCTATGTGGATCCCTTTATAGTTGAGATATGACAGTTAATTTTATTTCCTTTGGGCAATAATTGTATTGAATAGATTCTCTTATTGCAGAATTCAGCACGCGATATACTTTTTGGTCGATTTTCAGTCTGATGTGCGCGGGTTAGTGAGCTAAGGATCGGGAAGCTAAAAATCGACCGAAAAGTATATCGTGTGCCGAGCACTGTCTTACTATATAAATTAAGTATAGTTTCTACGATTAATTAATGATAATGTAATTGATAATTGTTTGCATTTATACATCATGTTTCAGTTACACATTGAGGAAAAATATAAAACAACAAAAAGAAAAAAAGATTTAGGATGAACGATGTAAGACAAACTATGTTAAAATATGTTAAAATATATTTTATCTTAAAAATTATAAAAAAAAAATGATGAATTTTATGTTATTAGTATATGGATATATAAACATAAACATATATGTTTTATATT